TCATCAGGGCGTAGTTATTGCGTGGACTCGTCCTTAAAGACTAATTTAGAAGACCTGGTACATAAATAACTCTTCTTCAATGTTGTAATTGTTGGAAGGGGCCGAAAAAATCTTAGGTAAGACGAGAAAGTAAGAAAGGTGCGCCGAGAAAGGAGATTGATCCCCGACCAATCGATTCCTCTATCGATTTGGCCGAACTCAAGGCCCTGCGAATTTGAAACGGGTATTTTGATTTTTGAGAGTACTTTACTTATGAGTTCAAAATGTTTAAAAAGATGGCTCAAATTTTTAAAATTATTTTTTCCTCGAATAATGCAAATGTTGCATAAGAACTGGCCCAGGTCCCATTTACGTCAATCTCTCTAGATTTTCGAAAAAAGGTCCGTATTTAACCGTCTTCCTACATCTACAACTACAAACTAAACAACTATTAAACTATTATTTTTGCAAAAATTGGTCATATTTTTTTCTGTACATGTTTCCTCGAGTTGAACAGAGTAAATTTACCTTTATCTTGAGAATCTCTCGGTACTTTCGATAATTGCGAAAAAATCACATTGCGAAAATGCAATATTAATGGAAATTACTTTCCTTAATTAAATTTGTTCTAAAAAATAAATATTTGAATCAGGTCATGTACAATTATTTGGAACAACGAGTAGATTTCGCATATATTGTGCTGGAAGGAGAGGCAATTTAAAGAAACGTTTCGAAAACGGCTCCTAACTTTTTCTTATTTTTTGTCTTTGTTAAAAACAAGGAAAGTTAAAAAAAATGTTTCATTTTCAACGAACTGTCTAAATTTTGTAAAATTGCAAATGCACAAATATACTAGAAAGTGTGCGCGGTTGGGGCGCCACTTGCTTCCCTAAGAGGGGCCCAGAAAATCGTAAGAAATATGCACTTTTTCGGTTTCAGAGATCTACAACACTTTCTCTATTTTAAGTAAGTGGTTCGCTAGAAATTAAAAGTAGTGAAAATGTTTTCTTTGTTGAATAACCTCTGTCGACTTCAGTGCGACATCATACGCGAGTTTAGAACAAGATGCACTTTGAATGTGCTTTCCATGTCTAAGCTACACAATTCGGTTTTTTCTGACAAAAAATCCTTTCCCGTCGCAGCAGTACATTACTTTCCCTTACAACGTTGGTACGTAGTAGGTAAAAAAGTAAGAATGGATAATGATTATTCCTATATGTAGCGAAAACGTCCTTTAACTCTTTGTGATCTGAAAATCCACTTTTTTTTCCTAAATACCAAAAAAAGATGGTTTAAGGCAAAACCTATGATCGTCTGTCTTTGGTCAACACTAACGACCAAATAATTAATTTTTTCAAAATTGATAATCCTCGATCAATTTGGCCAAAATAAGAGACCCTGCAAATTTGACCCGGATATTTTAATTTTGATTCCTGACAAGACTTTCCGAATTTTCTCAGAAATGGCTCCAAATTTCTGGATTATTTTTTCTTGGGTAGAGCAAAGTACATTAAAAACTAGTGATGCTACAGATAAACATACTTCCTCGCTTTATTTCTAACTTTTTCAATTTTCAACAATTTAGAGAGTTAAACTAAAATGAGACTTGCTACATTTTTAAGTGCCCGTTGTCCTAGCCGAGGAAATAATTTAAAGAAAATATTTGGAGCCGTTTTTAAGATAAAATATAAATTACCTCTACTTCAAGCCAAAAATGCGCGGAAACTACTTTTAAAAAATTGAACATGACCTCATTTGGAGAACTAATGTTTTAGAACATATTACAATAAGAAAACAAGATGACTTGCCAAGTGGTCCGGTTTGTTTCATCTGTCAAATTTCAAATATCTGGGTATTTGTAATCTAACTAATAATCGAATTTTTTATTCAATTTTTTTGCTTGAATGTAGTGAAATACATTTCTGAAGCTTTTAGTTTTAGTTCTGGTTTTCTCCGTATAAAATACACTTGTAAAGTTTTATAGTACTGATTTACACTATTTCCTCTGAGGTTTTGAAAAAGTTTCAATTTTTTTAATTCCCTCTTATAGCTACACAGCGATAACATGGCCTTTGATCTTCAAAAATTTCACAAAAGTATTTTTAAATATCACTCAGGTGGTTAACATTTACATTATATGTGTCTTTCATCAATTAATACATTTATTAACACAGAAGATTTAACGTGTGTGTGTGTGTATGTGTGTATATATATGTATATATATATATATATATATATATATATATATATATATACACACACATACTTTCTTACTTATATATTATGTATTTTCAAAAAACCGTAAGTTTGGGGGCATTAGAAATAGAAGTGACGTATTTTGGAAACAACTTCGAACCAAATTTTCTTTAAAGCATATTATTTTGTTTTCTCTGCAATATCTTAATTCTAGAAAAATCTTGTAGAGAATTAAAGTTTTTCTATAATTGGAGTTTCTCCAGAATGAACATTACAATGAGATTGTTTTGTATGTTTATGTGTTATTTAAGTATGTATGTTTATTATGTTATGTGAATAAAGTGTTATTTAAGTTTAACAGGAATAACTTGTTCGTCACGTTCATTTGAAAATCGGTATTTGTACGCCTAAGAACATAAATGTTCAAAGTCCAATATGGTTGCGCTTCGATTCTCTAACATAACTCAAAGTTCGTTTTTCCGTATTCAGTTGGCGTTCTTCAAATTTCATCAGTTCCAAGATAATACTGTACGTCGGTGTTTGCAAATTTATTGTAAAAATACGGTAATACGAATGAAAACTCCACTTCTTATGTTCAAAGCGGCTTCACTATTGACAGTCCTACCGCGCACTTTCAGTTGTCCACGACAGAGTTGCCATCGTTGAAAGAAACGTGTAGCGTCGTGGAGCCTAATTTAATCAGCGCCACTTGCATAGACCTATTTAGTTGGCGATGGTTTAATTCGCAATCTGTCCACTAGGATCAAAGTGCTAAAACACGCAAAAACATGTTTTTGGAAATTTCGTAGAATCTTATGGCCGAATCTGAAAACAATTATCAATTACCCACCAGGTGATCGAGACACATCAAATGACACCTCATATGTCTCGATTGGTGCACAGGAAGTGGTCTAACCGCGAGTGACGGAAACGCACGTATGCATTCACGCGCGCTCGCACACTCAAATACTATGTAGGGATAATCGTGTAGCGGAAATTTTTCAACAGTAAACCTCTTTATTGTTCGCCCCTGGAAAAAAAAGGTGGATAAATCTTGTTGCCATGAAGTAAATTACTTTCTCTAACACATTGTGTAATCAAAATACATGTTTTGTTGGTTCGAGATATCAAACATTTTATTGACGGCAGAAAGTCTTGTTCTGTCATCCGCCTGTTTGTCTATCACCCGTCTGTGGTCAACGCTAACGTCTAAACCGATCAGATAAGTTTCTCCAAAATTGATATTATCGATCGATTTGAAGAAACTCGAGGCCCTGCGAGTTTGAAATGGATATTTTGATATTGGGGATGGGTACATTACATAAGACCTTCACATTTTCAAAATTATAAATCTACTAAATCCATTTTTTATTTAACAGTGTCCTAGGATAACGAACATGACGCTTAATATTATGGTAGATGCCTCGTTTTCGTTGAAATAATGAATTTTTGAAAATTTCAAAAGTTCAAAGTTTGTTCGGCATCGTCCTACAACTACAATATTTTTTTTACTTTGTCTTATAGATACTTATTTACGGAGTAATATATTTAGTATAGAGAAAATAATACCTAATTTTCCTGGTTTGAATCACGGCGCTGCGAGTGGAAATTCTTTAAATTTCCAGTGTACTTTATATGAAGCCCAAGAGACATTCATTTAAAATTTTTCTCAAAAAAATCTCGAATATTTTTCTTCAACTTTATTGTATGAATAGAGCGTATTTTTAGACATGTCTCAATTTTTTAGTGAAAATTTGCTTAAAAAACAGATTTTACTCATCTGTAATATTTTTAAAGTCATATTCAATTTTTTAATTTTATATACAACTTTTAGGGGAGTGAGAAAAAAAGAAAATGAGAAAAAAATGTATTTAACGTGCCAATAGGTAGCGGCTGTGGGGAAGGGGGGGGGGCAAAGTTAGCCCAAATTAAATGTGTAGGAAACGAGAACCAGTATGTGCCATTTCGAAGCATCATAAGTTCTCGCACATCAAATATGTTGTTCAAAGATCAATCTTGAAATAAGATTAAGTACAATTTTTCGAAAATGTGTATAGTTTTGGCGAATTTTTGCGTGAAATATGGATAAAAACAATTTTCTCAAAAATTGCTCTAAAGTTTTTTATTTTTTTCCCTCATATGTAGCAAAGGACTGTTACAAATTAGTGGTGATTCCATTTTTTAAGAATCTCTTTATTTTCGAAAACTACAAAAAATAAACATTACAAAAGAACAATATTGATAACAGAGATTTTGTTTTAAACGAAAATGTGTATTAAAAAATGTGTTCTTTAAATAAGGTTGCGTATAATTGTTTGAAAAAAACGACTGATTTTCGCTTATTAATACTTGAAATTAATAAAACAATATTTCAAATAGACTCCACTTTTTCCCCTCTTTTTTTAACAGGTAGAAGGTCGTTTTACAAATGTCCCAGGTCTCATTTTTGTTGAACTATCTGAATTTTCGAAAATTGCAAAAGTTAGAAATAAAGCGTGTTGTTGTAACTCCACTAGTGGACCTCGTTTTTGTGAACATGTTAAGAGCGCAAAAACTATTTTATCGGTGGTCTTGACGCTCATATCTCTCTTTTTACCTTGCTCACGTCAGAGTCCGAGGTCTCCTTCGCCTTACATACGTTCATCGATTTTAAGAATAATGCGAGTTAAAAAATAAACAGCAATACGAATTCATCCATTTTCTTTGATTATTTTCTAAAATTCTGAACATTTTTTATAATAATTGATTCATCATGATGATAACATAACCAATGTAATGTTCATTTTTAGGGCATAAGATTGAGATTCAACTTGTACTGATTTTACAGAGCCTGAAATGCAGGTCGTGATGCTCTGAAGAAAACAAAAGTGGAAGACTCCCCTTACAAAATTGTTGTCGAGAACACTGTTTAAAATGGAAAAATTACACGACATAACACTTAAAGAAGAAAAGGCTGAAACAACAGGAAGTAACTTGCAGTATCTCTACATGGTCACTTTACCAGCATTTCTAGGAATGATATTTTTGGTCGCGTTTTGTCATTATTGTATGCGAGAGAATGGAAGTTGTTGCCGTCTTTTTGATAGACATATTACATCGCATGAATATATTGACGAGAAGGATGACGAATATTTTGATGAAGTTTGAAAATTGGAGTATTATATACTTTCAAGATTCCTCTAATTTCCCAATTTACATTATTTTATTGCATATATAATTATTACACATTATATAACTTTAGAAGGCTGCAATGTTCACTCGTGTATCGTCTCTGTGACATAAGATTGACTTAACAAAGGTCATAAAATCAAAAGCAGAGGAAGAAAAAGAGGCAAGGAAATAATACTAATTTTTATTTTTGACAGTTTAAAATACAAAAAATGCGTTGGGAATTTAAAAGAACTAATTTACAATTAATATGTCTCACCTATTTATTTCGGAAATTGCATTGCGACAGAAAATCATTTTCAATAAAATTAACTAATATGCTATGTAACCAAGAGCTAACTGTCCAAAATAAAGGATCGACGGATTATGGAGGAACGAAATAATAGTTTATTTTTTCTTATAAAAGAAAAAATTAAAATAGTGAAAAAAGTGCATTATTATTAATTCATTTAATAATACATTTAAGAGTATTTTCCTGACGAAGCATGTTTATTTCAATGCCACTGCTAAGTGTTGTTTCTTGCATGCCTCTCCCCATGAGGAGACTCTTCGTACTGATTTCTATTCCTTGTGTGGTCTTCCAGTATAGTCGAAACCTCTCCCCCGCACAGGGACGAGATCAGAAGTCTGGGTAATGGGAAAATGGGATATTTTAAGGAAGATGTTTCTTTCTTTACGGATTTCTGTTCGGGGACTGAATATCGAAGGGTAGAGATGAGAATTTAGATGAGGATGGGAGAGGGGTAGAGAGGGAAGGAAGAATAGATAGGAAAGTGACGGAAAAGCTGTTGTCGTCGGCGTGTATTTCTATAGTATAATTTAGGATAAAGGGTTGATCATGTTTTCTAGAACCATTTTTGGTTTCGATTTACCGTGTGGATATTTCACCCACTCGGAAATTTTCATATTGGCATTTCGTACGGCTAGCTACCCACCATACCCACATTATCCGCCGGGCCCGTTACTACCTTACCTCCACATGCTTAGCTCGCTGACTGCCTTCCGATCGCTTGTCGCTTCTTGATGTACCCGAGGGAACGCAACAGCTGAAGGCTCGCCACGCGCTGCCGATCCAGTGGCTGCATGGTTGCACCTAGGGACCCGAAGAGCGCGCGCTGCCCTTCTGCGTTCGCGCCAAACGTGGAAAGAAGCCATCTTTCCCGCCGTTTTGAACACTAACCCCTACCCCAATACCTCTTATCTCCAATTCTAATGCAGATTCGTAATACCATAGAACACCTCCTATCCAAGTTTTTAAAACAAATAATGATAAATCTACCACTAATGTTAAATAACTACTCAAATGGCCGCCGCCCCTATATGAGATCCCTTCATTCTATAATGCAGAATGTCGATGAACTCAGAATATGTCAAAATTCCTCGATGTTACGTATCTCTTGACTTATGACCCGCGTATGCACTCGTAGATGCCCGAGATCGTTGGCAAATCCAATAAATTCAGCTGCCATTGTTTTTCACTTACCTAACGTACCTATCTGTTCGCCTCTCGAGATAATTTTAAATAAGAACACAAGTAAGTTCCAACCTAAAGAAAATGTATTGTTCGTAAATTCAGGTTATCACAATCAAGAGGCAAGCTAAGATATCTTGTTCTGTATTCTAAAACCACCGATTAATGTTCTTCCTTCCCCAAAGTTTCGCTAATCTTCTAATATCTTGAAGAATAATATTTGGGTATTTAACCGAAATATCACTTAAATTATCTCAACCTACTTTCAGGCATCCGTTTCTTACGAACTCGAGCCAGTCTCTTCCAAACAATTTGCTTCCATAGTAACCGACGCTACATCCCTCAATTGTCTTTTTTTATGAGTTGATACACCCGTATCAAGTTGTATATTTTGATATCGTAACACTCCACTTCCCTCTTTCTCAGGTCATACAAAAATCCCACTTCTCTCCTGACACTCCCGCCACATTCCCTGGATACCGGTGCTTCTGAGTTGACACACTATCTCAAGCAGCGACCGGTGGAGTAGTTATTTTAAATAAACGTTTGATTGATCACTACCAAGTATTCCTCGTTCGCACACCAACACTTACATGATTGCAGTAAGAACTATCCTATAGTTAACCATCCTCTCGCCATTACTGCCGCTTACAAACCTCCTAATCGATCCCTTGTGCCAAAACTATATTAAAATGTTACTTAAACCGCCCTTACTACTGGAAGACCTTAATAGTAAACACATATCATGGGACTGCAGAACAAACAATCCAATTGGAAATGTTCTTTTATCTGTTCTAACGTAATCCATTCTCAGACTATGAACTACATTTTATCTTTACAACCATAAAATCCAACCCTACAGTTTAGACCTTGGAATGCAAGCAAACCTCCCTAACTGACCCACTCATCTGCAGTCACTGGCTGCATTAGATTCCAACCACGAGACTATTCCACTTTCATTTATCTTCAGTAACGAATTTCCCGACTCTAACGATATTGTTGACTGGCATCTATTGCAAAGTTCTTTGGATTTCCTTTTACCCAAGCTACCTTCAACAATCCCACCTTCTCAGATACATTATCACACATTCACAATATCAACCTGACGCAATGTATCCGTCAATCAACCGATTTGGCCCTTTGCAGACCTGTTCGCCCCTTTCCAGACTATAATCCACGGCGAACATTTCCTTAAACGTTATCACAACAATCAAACTAAAACATCATTACAGACTCTTATGGCAAAACCTACGGCTTCACCATTTAAAGCCAAAACTCAACGAACTGGAACGGAAAGTGAAGCAACAAATGGATGACCATATTCTTACCTAACACACTCCGCTAAAAAGTTTATAGCATTTACTAAACTACATTTTCTCCAAAATATCATAAAGAACAATCAGTGCATACCTTCCTATCCGATATTACCAACACAAATAAAGCACTTTGACGAGAAACTAAATGACTCCTCAAACCACCTTCATCAATTCCTATCCATAACTCCACTGATATCAAAGCAGAATCCGCCTTCGAAAAGCAAAATTATTATCCAAACGCTTCGCCTCAACCTTCACACCGCACCTCCATCCCAAAGTGCTGAAACTGTCGAATTCTCAATTCCTTACACTACCAAATTCAATTCTTCAAATGAAATAAAATTCAATATTTTAAAACATCCACTTAACAAATCTCCCGGCCTCGATCACATAACCTGATAATCGAATATTTTACAAATTGAACCTTTGCCTACCTCTCGTCAACTTATAAAACAGTACTCCGTGTGGGGTACTTTCTCTCATCATGGGAACATGCCACGTAATCATTTTCATTCTTAAACCAGATTAACCCTCCTCCCTCAACAATCACCCAAACCCCTACTCTAATCAAAATACTAGAAGAATTAATCAACACTCGTCACCCAACATACCTAATAATAAGAAATGCAATTCCCCCATTCCACTGATTTCCAAAAACGTATCAAATACGCCCTTCGTCCTACAACTCACGGAACATACAAAGATCCCCTCAGGATTGAATCGATGTCGACATGCTGTAACGGCTTTCTTCTAGATATATTCAACGGGATAAAGTTGTTCCTCACAGTAATCCTCGCAATGAATAGAATCCCAGTTTTAATATTTTTTGCTTCGCCTTGTTCAAGATTTTGGACAGTTTAATTGTTTTTCTTGTCGCAATCATCATTTTTGGGCTCAAATTAGCACGATGCAGGAATTGTGCAATGTTGCTTTCGTTTATAATGTTAAGAATTTTAATTACATCTTGGGTCATCTCTGTTTGAAGGTCTAATTCGCCGCCCTCTAATTGTAAGGGCCAATTGCTGAAGATGGGATTACTATTTGTCATTATATCTCGGGTCAATTTTCTAGGTTGAATGTATGACCACATAGGTGTCTGTTTCACAAGGCTCTGTAGTTCGATTACCATGTCTTACGACAGAGAGAATTGTCTTTCCTCCGAAAGGTGCTGGGCTACAACTTATTTCTTTCAAAAAGCGATAAGCAACGTTCGTTCAAGTACGATTCCATAAACCATAATCATGGAATTTTCGCTCACGCATAATTTACGCACCCCAATTATTTTAGACAGTTTTCTTACTTCTATACTCGCCGCGCCATTGTCGCAGCGTAAAATATGAGAAAAAGCTATTCATAGCTTGTAAGTTGACGTAAAATCTGAAACGCAGATTCACTAATTCTTCACGTTAAATTCCACTTCTGTCAACAACAAGGATGCCTCCCTTACTGGAATGTGAAATCCACCGACGAACCTTTCAACATTATCTTCAAGTATAGCTCTGATTTTTTTCTTTAAATTCCCTGCAAGAATGGATTGAAATTCGTACTAGAGACGTGTACCATTCTGTAGAAACACTAGTTTACTTCTTCAATGCTACTTTCCATTTCTTGTGCAATTTTCTGGTTGGTAGCGCCTATGTCGAGGCAACAAACGCCAAGAAATCTCAGTCGCTAGCACTCACTTCCAGCACGTATCGAAAGCTGAGAGAGCAAGTTCATGCGAGTTCTTGCGCAGGTGTGTCCACTATCGAAGAGACGAAATTGCGACCGCCCTCCGCGAGCATCACAACTCTCTCAGAATTGTCTCCATAGGCGCGAAACGCTCTCGTCACAAACTCGCGAGAGCGTGGCTCTCAAGCGGATACGTATACTCCGCTGTTCGCCTAGTATTGATCGTAGATGCCCTGGAAAACAATTGATAACAGCACAGAATTGGTCAGAGCAGCTGATTGCTGGAATTGTTCTCCAGGTAGTAGCTGAATTCGACGATTTCAGACCCAGTTTTTGGTAATGAACATATGGGGAAATTTCGTGTAACGGAGTCACACATGTTGCTTTCGACTCCGTTTGTTAGCTATGTGTGCGTTAGCTTAAGCGTTAGCGTAAGCGTACGTCAGGTACTTGAAATCTTCTTGTGTCAGAACGTGTCGTAAATCTGCCACCGGCGATACTAACCTTCCCGATAACCCTCCCGATCAGCGACGATACCGAGGAAATGGTGTTATCTCTGAGATATCGCAGCCGTTTAAAAATGTTTTGACAAATTTTCAACTGAAAATTGTTTCTTTTATAGAATTTATACTACCGTAGTAATCACGACTCGATTTTTGTAAACCAGTATCGCTTCAAATAATAATTTGTATATGTTTTTGATAAATTTGCGAACACCTACAAATAGTATTGCCTCGGAACTTATTAAACTTGAAGAATTTAAAGTGAATACGGAGAAAACAAAACTGTGCATAATGCTAGAGAATGAATGAAGGAACGTTATGTTCGACTTCTCACTTTTACGTTCTTATATGTGTGTTCTTATTTCAAATGAATTTCAAATGAATGTGACTCACAACTTATGTTTATTAAACTTAACACCTAA